GGGTCAAATGTCGTAAAATCTTCAAGCGACTTCTTTTCAATAAGCAAAAGGGCCAGGGTACTGAAATTGGGCCTGTAGCATGCTGGGATGAAGGACTACCATGTTAGTTCAAATGAATGACCTTGATCCACTTTCAACCTAATGTCCTTGTTCAACAATCAAGGTCAGAGGCCTCATATGTTTAAATCTTTTAATAGGTTCTTATGAAATCTTAAGATTACAAGTGTTAGATTAATAACAGGTGAGCGATGCAGGCCCATTGGGCCTCTTGTTTCTTGCTCAGAATTAATTCCCTTTTTCATACATTGGTCTTTTTGATTTTACTGGTGTACATTTCTAATTCCTTGATAGCAAAGTTTACGACAGGCAGGGTGATAGCAACATTGATAAAGTGGAGGACTAGCAGTGTACAGGTAGTGTTTGTTGCTGATGTCCTTCTCTATTTTGTTCACGTTTACCACTGTTCTCATATACGTAAATTTTAACTGTTAAAAAAGATAACAAGATGCGACTTTTATGAAATACTACTGTTGAAAAGGACTCGGACAAAATTTTATGATAGTATTTTGGGGGGCATAAGCTCACTTGGCCTTCAGTTGGTAACTTAATGAGTACATGAGAAATCTGAAGTAGAAAAGAATGTCGACATAATAAAATTCACCATAAACTTGGAAAAAGAAACCTCGTCTGCTGAATGTTCAGGTATCAGACCAGATCCAATGATCAGATTTGACGATAAGAAGCCAGAAACGGACAAACCGTTATCGTCCAACCATACCTCAAGGATAGTTGGTTAATAGGGTAATAATCTAATCTGTTTCCCTCGTCTCGATTCATCCAAGGACAAAACATAACCTTTGCAACAACTTGCAAGTCTTTATAATTAATGTTCAGCATATTGGATTGTTTTGCAATGGAAAAAGCTGGATTGTTTTGCTTAATGAAGTACTCAGGGAAAGAAGAAATTCAACAACGAATGAAAACGAAGATCAAATTTTTATTTACACTGTAGTGATTTATAGAAAATTCACAATAAGTATAATTTATATTAAAACTTTCTTCGTAATTATACAATACGTTACACCATTCTTCATAAAGTTATATACCCAATTTACCATACAAATATATCTCTCATCTTGAACATAGCCAACAACATATATATTGTAGTCTAATATTTATTTATTTTTTTACTTTATTATAAAACATTTTCATGATTTACAATTATAAGGAAAGAAGAAATCAACATACATATTTTACAGTACATATCTTCTTTCAACTATTTAGACAAATACAGTAATGAAATTTCCTACTATTGAGGAGTCCTCAGTGGACGAAATGTCGATATTACGCTGTACATTTTCACTTTAGTTTACTGCTTCAAATTATTAACTTTTTTATATGGGCTCCCTTGTTGAATATATATAGGTGATAAAATGACATCAAATTAAATTTATTACACATCTCATTTAGAAAAAAAATTAACAAAGCCTTTATATACACTATACTTTTGACGAATTACATTTCTGAAATTTTGAAAATGTATACAAGAATAAACTTACTAAAGTAACGACTACTTCGATAGTAAATGTCAAATCATCGATTTTCTCAATTATTTATTTATGATTTATTGATACATGACGAAAGGAATATTGTGTAAAAATGCATTCTTTTCTATAATTGTAAAACACGTTATTCTATGGTTATTGGAACAGAGTTTTATAGAATTAACATCAGCGCAAGAACAAATTTCCTACTAAAAGTAATCCTAAAACATACGAAATTATAAACAACTTCTCGTTAAAAATTCTTTAAATCAATATTTCATCAGTCAATTTGCACCTTTTGAATATGTCATCCTTTAACGTGTTCCTTTAAAAACGTACCCAATAATAAATGTTTAGACTTCGTTAGTTTATACCTATTTCAAAAGGAAACTTATGTCCAATCAAAGTAGCATTTACCAAATGATAAGCAATTAATTATACAGACTACATTAAGTGTACCTAAAATAATAAAAGCACCGGCTATTTTTGGGGTAACAAGTTATGATTAAAAAGGCAGAAAGATTAATAGCTATTAAATAAACTAAAAAGTAATGAATTATTAATATACCCTTTATATCGACAGTAAAAAAAAAAACATTTGTGTGCCAAAACAATTATAATAAATATTATGACGTAAACTTAACTAACAATTCAAGCTAAAATTTCAGTCGAATACAAATCACCTGTCGCCGTTGCACGGGTCTAAATGCAACATAATAATACTAAGCTATGTCGTTACTACATATGATATACATGTGTAAGATAATATAAGATATATTTATTAAAGTGTTACAACTTTGAATACATGAAAGACACAACATATATAATTAATTTTAGGCTTAATAGACTTGCGAGAGAAAAAAAAGTTTATACTGTACATGAAATGATACAAATCAATCATATTACCTTATAATAGGTATTTCAATATATCTGGTTCATTAGATAATGTGATTGTGTCCATATCATACATATATGTGAACGTAGTTACTCACATATTGTGTGAAAAGGGTTCAAAATGCCAAATTTATCTATGATTTACATGTTACTACACGTAAGGTCGTCCATTATCCACGCAATGAAATAGCATGAACCATACATAATAAAACATATCGGGATCGTAATTTAGAAGATATCAGATTTCCCCTTGCATCGCACTTTTAGCACTTTATCAAGCTATTTTTGTTTTGATAACAATAAGAAAAGCATGAGTATAATGAATAAACTCGGATAATCCGGTTTTAACCAAGAAGTATCAACTCGTTGTAACCATTTTAGATAATTGCCAGTATTTTGCAACAGATATCCGTGCAATTTGCAAATAAAGCCTTCCGCAATTTTAACACCAATGTGTCTGTAACTTGACCTGTTCAAACGGAGTGAGGTGCAAATTTAGATAACTGAATGAATACATAACCTTAATACATGGTGCATATCGTTTATTCAAAAGATTATGGACGTGTCACTCATCTTCTCTTAACATGTACTTGTATACCGCGGTATGATCAAATGATTCGTGCGTATCTTTTATCATAATACTTTTATGCCTGTATAAGGTTTCAAATCCTATGATGGTGTTTTCCGGTTCAGTTCAAAACAAACCGTTCAAAGGGGAAATTATACATGAAATTTGAGAAAGTTATGTCAGGAATTTCTTGATTAATAGCGATAAAAACCTTGACATGTCAAAATCCATGAAGTCTGCCGGGCGGCCATCTTGTTTTTCCAGTCGGTCTCAAAATAGGAGAAGCATCACACGCGACTATGAGGTATCTATTTTTTTTTTTTTTAGAAAGATCTGTCAAGTTTTTGCTCGATAGATAGCAATAACAAACTGGAACTTTCAAAATCTAAGTTTGAAGAAAGGGGGCCAATTTTTCCCGTTCAGTCTTACAACTGGAACCAAATGGATACACATCAAATGTGACAAAATCCATATCGATAACAGGAGCTGCTTGAGGACGGACGGACTGCTGGGCGATGTTCGACAGACGAACAGATCACGGACTACGGACGAAGGGTGATTGATCATCCAAACACCTGCATGTGATTATGGGCTTTAAAATTACGCAATATTTTACATTTTAAACGCCACCACTCAAATACCCTCTTGGCCCAAGAAACCTATAAACCATTTTCGTTCAAATATATTCTATTTTCATTAACAGAAATATTTAAAAAAAATACATATATCTCTCATATTTGGCTCCGTCTCTTTCCCCCCAAGGGATAGCGCCCTCCGATACCCCTTGTATAAGGAATGTTCAATACGAAATATTATCAAAATTTATCCGGACTAGTTGTTCTAACGTCACGATTCTACGAACTACATTTCATCAAAGTTTAGCATAATCAAGAATGAGAATACCTCGGACGTGTTCTCTCAGTGTCATCAGCGCAAGGCCGACTGTTCCTATATACAGATATTCCATCGTTCTTTTGATAGCCAGTCTACCAACCTCAGAGTCAAGGAGATATTCACGTCTCTTAGAAGTTTTCAAGTTTCAGAAATCACCAAATGTGTCCACTTTGGAGATGTAAAAGAAGGAACCTTGCAACTTGTTTCAGAAAATTAATTTCAATTGAATTTTTCAAAAACAGAATGCGCTTATTACAGAAGATATTTAGTTACTTGTTAAATAAATGTAATTATATACACAAAAAAACCTGTCGCTTTCCTTTATGAAAACATTAAATGTGCAAATGTAATCAAACAGAAATTCTAAGTTAAATTTTGCTGTTACCTTCCGAGTCATTCACTAACACCTATGTCTGCATTTAAAGTCCAGATCCTTTGAACGATTTATGCGTGTGAGTACACAGAATACGAATATACAAAATCAGCGAATTTAAATATCTGCCCTATTCTACCATGTCCACCAGTACAATATAACTTTGGTAACAACCAAGCTCCCCCACGATTTTACATAGAACATCTGGCAGGGTACCTCATGCGGACCTGCAATTCTTACACCATTCGACACTTGGTTTCACCTGCAGTTTTTGTTGAGAGTTTAACGATGTTTTTGTCTGGTGTTTGCCACGTTCATCTCCTGTTTCTGTCCCTTTTCCGTACCTTATTTGAGTGTCTGAGGTGTTTCGTGTGTTGACGCTGTGATGAGTTTTGTTTTATTCTCCTTTGTATAAACAATACTATTCATTCCATAGGCTGTTAGCAATGTCATGAAATCTTTCCAGTAAATGTAAAGAAATTTAGTATTGGCCAAATTGATAGATAGTTGTTAAAATTCACACTATAGTTGTTCGTGTATTAACCCAGAACGATTACATTAAACTGTCGCATAGATTTCAATATTATTTGATTTGTCCACTTCATCGAGCTCTGGAGATGGTCTAACATTTCTATACCGACCTTCATAAAACCAGATGGAGTCAGACAAAGTCTGCTTATTTATTCTTGGACGCTCGTGTTTCAAATTTTTTCCGCCATTGAGGATGTTGGATAGATAGTGGCGGTAACCTTCTCTTCTCTTCCACTTCGACCAAACATTGGAGGGTTCGGCCGCGCCGGACGTTCCTCCTGATAATTGTCCGTCGTTACATTGACCAATGGACTACTGTTTTCAGTATCGAAGTCAGTTTCAGATTTGTCGTCCATGGCGGCAACTTCGCCTGTTTTCGTCTTTACATCGGTTTTGCCACGAAGCCAGAACGTCATGACATCACCCTTTCCCTGTATAAATATAAAGAAACATATGAAGATGTTTCTGCTACACAAAACATAGTGCACAATATGTGAAATTCGAAAGTAATCACTCGAAATAGTCAACTCGAAACTCGAAATACTTAAATGTTGAATGTTAATAATGTGAAGGCAATATAATTGATTTGGTGAGGTTAATATTAATTGCATGATAATATTTTTTTATATATGCTGATGAATTAACAGAATTAGATGAGGATATTAAAAATTGATGAAAACATTGAAAGAGGCGATGCTATTTATTCTTTGGTGAGAGAATGGTTTTCGCCTGTAGAATATGAAAACAACATAAATGGAACACAAAAGTTCATTGTGATACTGTAAATATAAATATTTGATCGGACTCAAATTTGTGCGTATTATTAAATTTTCAGCAGATTAGCGCTTTGCAGAATATGCGCATTCAAATCATATGTAACAGAGACATATATACAGGATCTTCAATTAACACAGTCATAATTCAGCGTATGACTTTAAACGCGAAAGGCGTGAAATTGGAGAACCGCTTAAATATGTACACTAACAGTAATTCAGAAAATAAATTGACCTACCCGTATGTTTATCAGGCCTCGCTCCTTTGTTACATAGTTTCCTGCTTTTTTCAGAGCATTGTTGGTAGCTTGGGTAATATGTATTTTATTTGCTTCAAAACAAAATTAAAATAGGTATTAAAATACATTATCATTTTTGTACACAATAAACAAATAAAATGATGTAACATTTTCGAGAAAAGCATACGAAATATGCGTTATCGACAGTAACTGCGTTCTAAATGGTACTCAAGCTCAGTAACTAATATTGCTTTTTCATATATATAATACTGAAAAATTTAGGTCGAAATAACATGTAACACTTACTAAAAGACATATTTTAGAACAGTAAAAATGCCATTACCGACATTTTGATTAATATCACATCACTTATGCAATAAATCACTGTTAAACACATAAATCGATTCAACTCGACTTGATGAAATACGAAGGTCATTAATGGATTAGGGAACGCAATGTATGGTACACCAGAGCCAATCACACAGGCTAAGGGTGAAGCTTTTATAACAATGTCATATTTGTACAAGTAGGAGCAGTCAATGACAATTGAGTAAATGAATACGTACGAGAACTCTCCATTTTCATCTTAGCAGCAAAGTTGACAGTCTCACCAAGAACACAATACCTCGGCATAATGGCGCCTATAATACCTGTCATGCATGGACCTGTACAACAACACAACCGCATTACGTTCAATAAATGCGTGAGAAATTGCTCAACAAATTCAAGTACAAATGCTGATTGATAAATTTTGTGATATCTCTAAAAAACATTATAAAAAAATGAATAAACAAAAGGAGAGAACAAGAAACTACCGGAAGATCAACAAAGCTGTCATTTGATCTCAGAATTGATAAAACAAGGTCAACATATGAACAAACGTAGGATATACATTGATACCCTTATAAAAGTACGACGAGGTTAAGACAGATGTTCCAGAAGTGTAAACCTCTTCTTCTTCGTCACATTCATTATCACAATCCAAATAACGTCTTGTAGACAATATTATAATATTTATTCTTCAAGGCAATGCATGCTTAAATAAAGTTCAGCAACCTGATTTCGTTGAAAATGTGCTGAAAATAGCATTAAGTTTGAAATTCGTAAAGAGAGGTATTTGTCTAAAGAACCATACAAAACTCAAAACAATTATGACACAATAAGCGAAATCTTGCATAGACTGACACACATCTGAGACTGTATATACCTGAAATGGCATGACCTACTTCTGTTGAACTCGACATAACTAATTGTAATTGTGTTGACATTGACACACAACTGTGCTCCTTGCGTAAAGTTTGTCTCGTGTTTCTGCAAAATATTGTGTTCACCTTGAGCTAGGATCATAAGCAATGTTTGATATAAGGTCGTACATATGTTGACCTTGACTTCGAAATGTAAGCTTCCCAGTTGACCTTGACTGATACATGCATATTAACTTGTTAATCATGATCATGAACAGTGTGTCTCTCTTTTGACCTTTACCAAGAACTCTATATACATGTACTTGTATCGACTTGAAACTTGAACTGTTAGTAAATGTGAAGACCTTAACATAAGATATTGAATGTTCTTTCGTTATTTTTACTGAATACTTACCTAAGACCTTCAGGGGTACTTACCTAAGACTTTCAGTGGTACTTACCTAAGACTTTCACCCCTGCAGGTAGGATAATTGTGAAGAGACTATACCTGCTGTTGCTTACTGTACGCTATAAGAGGAAACTGGTGTGGTAAGCTGCCACAGGATTGGATTGTACGGTTGTACCTTTTTCTTTTGGACACAATAATCTACTGCACTCATTGCAATATTTGTATCTCTATATATTCCCTTTATTTCCTTCTAAACAACATTCTTCTTCATAATGTCTCCCTTGACATTGCCTCAGTTGAGCGTCCGCCTCTGTGAGGAAGGATTTAGGTTCTGTCCCCTGGCCGAGACATACCAGAGTGTGTAAAAATGGTATTTTCTACTCATGCTTAACGCTCAGCAATTAAGGAGTAGTACGACTGGTTCGCCCGTTGTCAGTATAATGTGACCGGAAGGGGTGTCCTGCTGGGTGTCACCGGCAGTATGTTTTAGTCCTTAAAATGATAGTTGTGATTCCCTGCTTAACGTTCAGCATTTCGGTTTACCCGTTGTCAGTATAATGTGACTGGGTGGAATGCTGTGCTGAATGCCTTCGGCATGGTATTTCAGTGAGATAGCTCTATAAAGTCGGCATCAGTTCTGCGCTATCACAAGGAGACATGTACGAACATATCGCAGCCTCCCAAAACACACGCAAACACTACACACATGCATCTTGCACACAGGGGAGGCCGTTCTTAAATGACCATAGTTGTTGATAAGACGTTAAACAATACTAAACCAAACCAAATCAATCCCTTTATTTTCTAAAAACAATTGTTCCCTAACGCCTTGCTTAGCAATACCTGATGTATTGCCTCGGTTTTGAACGTTCGCCTAGGCCGGGACGTACCAAAGGCATAAGACAAAGTAGTTGATACTCCTTGTTAAACGTTCAACAACCTTGTATTTAAATACCTGTATTGACGCCGATGAGTAGCTGTACGTATCTGTTACCGGATACAGAAAACCGTTTGGTCTGGATGAGCTGAAGCATTTCCAAGGCCAGGTCTGCTACTTCAGAGGAGTGTCTGTCTTCGTTCCGAGTAGGTATTCCTGCAATGTATCACCACTTACAATGCGAAATGCTTCAACTAACCAAACTGTTTGTACGTTCAAATTCCACCTATTCTAATAACTCGATGTGTTTGATTAGTTTGCATAGACATCTTACAATATTGGATGACACGTCATCATTTGTTGGATTATTATCACGTGGAGGTCGGCGATTTGTGATATTGAATCGGACCTACTATTTAAGGAAACATCAGGTAAAATTCCATTTATGACGTCACTTTCATTGTAACGTCGCAATACCCTCTACTAAATGCCGAATTTTTTCTTGACGATATAATTAAGTTCAATATTTTTGATAATAAAATCAGTATAATTTCCTATCTAATATAACACTTACATACTTTCGTTTCGGTCAATATACCCTTTTCAGGTTAATACAACCACATATTCACTTCAATAAAGGTCCATAATTGATAAATATACTTAAATATGCTCTGGCTATTATTCATTGAAGTGGATATGCTATCACATGAACCGGCGATCGATAGGTAGCTGGTGTAAACAACACTTATTGTGACATCACGACTTATAATTAGATGAGGTCAGGAATTGAGGATAAGGGGCTTTCTTTCTGCTGTTCAAAACTTATTCTTTTTCACATAATTAGTAAATGATGCTATAAAAATAGTCTAACTCTAGTTAAATCCCTCCTTTCTTAACAACAATATCGACCCCGCAGTCGTCTGAAATCCTCGTTTTCCCACTAGATACGTGGAACTGTATTCTAGAGTATGAGATTATACTCCACAAATATGTACAGCATTTTTGATTCATCTGCAACCAGGTTAGTAGTTTTTTTTTAATTATCTGCAACAACTTCCATCCCTGAATACAGGTGATTTAAAAAGAGAATATGTCTGTTGTTACACTCTGCATGGGTAATAGGAAACGCCCAACATACATCATCAAACACACACACGTGAAGGCACTTGTCCTTAAATAATCCGGACTGTTAAGAGGGTGCTTAACTAAACGACAAAACAGACCACTCAATTTTGTTTTTCAATATCTACTTAAAAGGTTGAAGATATTCCGTCTATGCGTATTGCAGAGTTATCTTCTCTTGGGAGCAGATATTGATTGTTACGTCACTTGTTTGTGATAGTAACGTCATCAATTTTTGAGAAAACGACGTAATTTTCCCGCACAAACCAATGACGTAACAATAAATACCTGCTCCCAAGAGAAGATAACTCTGCAATACGCAAAGACGGAATAGTATGTCCAGTCCTATTCGAAATTATTACCCCTGTTCTGCTCTTGACGAGAATTGCCGAGTCATCCAGGTGATACATGTATCAATAACCTAGATTTACATGAAATAAGAATATACGAATATACCCCTCTTTTGTTCCTAATAACTCTATACTTCTTGAAGGTTATTTAACACAAGCTTGAACTAGCGCTGAAAGAAGACTTTTTAAAAATGATTTTGTTAACGTTGGAATAAACGAGTCGGCATGTGTAATTAAAGAAGGTAGGATCACTCGCTAGGAATCTTATAAACTGCTAGATCATATCAGGTGCAACAAACTGTGAAACGACCAGGATGAAAACACATACAGTGAAATAAAAAAAAAATTATTTAAATATCACAATCTTTCACCGAAAAAGGCTTAAATAATGGGCCGTGACCCGGATGTAAGCACTTACCCAGGTTGACCTCGTAGTGAATGAGGTAACATTTTTTCGTTTAAAATCGCACACATAGAAGAAGTGGAACAGACTGAAATACGGTTACCAGGCTTAAGCACGTACCAGAGGCAACCATGTAGCAATCCTTTATGGTCTCGACCTTGTACACATTGTAGTCTTCCAGAAGTTCGTCTATGGTGCCGTATACAGAATTCATCAGCACCACTATTTCATTTGGTGAACACTCGCTCGAAATTCTTTCAAAATATAAAACAGTATAGATTACACACAAAATATGATATCTTGATTTTATCTTTATCCAGTTCGCTATTCCTCTTGTGACATCATCAGAAAGTTACCTCAAGAATAGACATTTGATGTGTGTGCATCTTCGGATATATTGTATGTTTATTTCTTGTTTTATTGGGTTAAACACATAAACATCAACGTTTTAGCTTATTTGGACAAGATAAGATATTAAATGAACTATAACTTATGAAACTAATATCAAAACAAACAACAAAACATTCAACACAATCATCAAGACAACAAGTAGTAAAGTTATACTTCCTGCACCTGTTAAAACCGAAGATATCGAGAAATAGGATTGTCACGGAGCTGAAGTATTCAGGGTCGATCTCTATATTTTTCTTCAATTTATCGGCTACAAGCGCTGGGACCATCTGGTAAAGCAGCCCGTCTGAACGTTTCTTTTCTTTCCTCAGATCATTAGTACGATCCACGAGTGTCAGTCCATACCTTTTGATATAAACTGGTATTAGTCAATACCTGTATTTACCTATCATAACACAATACATCTCCAGCAGGCATACACACATAGGGAGATATTAGCCAGGTGACATAGGACTAGTAGTAGTTAGCGCCTGATAAGGCAGCTCCTGCGAATTTCTCAAAATTGTAATGATTAATGTATATGCTCATTGTATCGATTGTATATCTATGTATTTTAAAGCGCTTAAGAGTTGCTCTTTCTATCTAGATAGGGCGCTATATCAAATGTTGTATATTTCATTTATATTTTCATAACAAGGACTTGTTTATCAGAGTTCTGTCCTCTTTCTGTAGCGAAGAATAAACAAGTATCTCCGCCCGTGCACTCAATATCACGACATGTTCTCACCACTCATTCCATCAACACAAAACCAAACCACGCCGAGCCACGCATCCCCAACTAACGTTGCAACTCCAGAGTGCTATGCAATTTAAAGCTAGAGAACGTCGTCTCCGTTGTAAGTACAATGTGAGCTGGTAAAATATTGTGCGGGGTGCCTCCGGCAATGTATTGTTGTGTATAGGCGGTACTCTAAAATCGGCATCAGATACCTGCAGTCGGCGGGTTGCAAATACACAAGCATACCACTTCAACACAAACGTATGCATTCAAACATTACACGCTCTTAGGTGGCATTGGCTGTTAAAAGGACTCTTAAACTAATAGAATCAAACCCATCCCTATCTGCACTTAACCATCCCCAACATCATTCCAGTATATGCCTCTGAACACACAGAGGTATGTCCCTAATTGAGCTTAGCTGTTAATAGAACGTTGAACCAAAAGGACTAAACTAATTCCCATCCGCCCTTATCTCACCCTGAAATCGTTCCTGATATATACCTCTGAATGCTGCTGGTGAGGTTCTCTGTGATGTAGATGACAAGGGGACACATGACGAGTACAACGAAGAGGAATGCAGCGCTGACTGCTAAATTGTTTGTCGATTGGTCTATGACGATGTCAAGGATGTCTATAATCTCGTAGCCCAAGTCTCGCTGAATCTCGAGCAAAGTGTCCAGGTAAATAGTCATATTGTCGAACCTAAACAGGAGAAGAAATCCACGAGGTTGAGGAACTTTATTGCCATTCATATTTACTGAAAAACGAAATCAAGCGTAAATGCATAACGTTATACGAACCATTTACAGTAAAATCATGTTTTAATAGAATGCGCTTACCTTCAGCAAACATTAGAAACACATCATTGATAATATTACAAGTCTTAAACTGCTAGCGAACCTATTAACACCGTTTTATTTTAGGCATGAAACATTTAAGCATTGAACGCGCATTATGATTTGTTTGCTTGCAAAGCTGTGTCATTCAAATAGATCATACATACCATAAAAAAACAGTTCAATACTTATATTGACGTTTTTTCTGCCTCTTATTTTCTTTTTTCAACTTATAATTTATATTTAAAATTAAAAATGCCCGCCTTATTGACAGTCGATACAATTTCGTTCAATAGTTTGAACAGCGTATTGTCGCGTGCTGATTGGCAAACAAAGTAGTACTTTGAAATTTTAGCAAACACTTTAATTTTATTCCACAACGCAGTATCAATACAATTGCGTATGATATGTCTATAGGGTGATTTAAGTTTATCAATAAAACTCTGAGCTGAAAGTTAGATTTGAAATTGTTTCGATTTTTCCCCGGAACAAATTTCGCGCATGGACGAATACAGTGAACACCGGAAATCCGACGTTGCCCTCCACGAGGGAGTTATTTTTTGAAGTTAATTTGAACTTTTCTCTTTGCTTATTTTGTGAAGAATCCAGGCGTGAATTTATTTGTTTATTGTATGGGAACCTGACAACAGTTGGTAGATTCTATAAAAGCCTCGTTATTTGACATGTCGTCAGAAACTGAGGAACCGTGGATCGAAACGCGTGAAACTGATAGCGTTTGAAGTGAGTGATCTTGCGACGGAGCACAGGTTCGTTACAAATGTCTAAAATGTTTATGTGTGCTGCGACTCATATCAGTAGGTCTGTAACATATGTGTCAGTAGGTCTATAGAATATGTGTATTTCAGACATTTGTAACGAACCCCTGTTGATCAGTGCAGTGTAACAGACGATATTTCTGATAAATTGCATGAGCGTTAAAATTGTTTCCATTGCCGGCATTGGTGATTTCAACCGATGTGCATTTTGTACGATATTGCAGACCTTGGTCTTGTTTTCGCACATAAATTTACAATGACATTGTCAAATCTCACAATGCCCAGCGATATTTCAGCAGCCGTCATGTTTATTTATATTAGATATTGTAGTTCCGGTCAGTGTTGTATTAACACGCTTAGATTTGTGTCTCGTGATGCATGGTAATTAAAATCCCATCAACGACACAGCTTTCAAAGAGGCTATATAGTGACAATGCCATGCAAATGTAAATATAACTGTTTGTGGTTTACATCAATCGACGTTTCATTAAAATCTGAATTTACAGAGCTTCATGTTCAAGACATAAGTTTTTGGTCATCAACCAGGTAGTAAAGGTGAACTGATGACGTCTTTTAACAGGAGGTTGTATAAGTATGGCAATAGAGGACATACAATATGTATAACTTACAGTATGTCAAATTCTAGACAGTGTCTATTTAGACTGGTTTCTTCAACTGTACCTAGTCTTGCTTAATATAAGAATAACACAAGATCAGATAAATTATTTGGGACTAATTTGTGTTATTTTTATAGATAATGTTTAGTTTTTATTATTACTTCGCTTGACAAGTACGTCCCATCTCCGTTCTGGATAAAATGAGTGTCTGTTATTGCTAGAGTATGAAAGTAAACATCAATGTATCTTGCTGCCTCACAATGAGTTTCTTTCAAAATTTAAATGTCTGTTTTTCTTTAAGATGTGTGTATTTAATGGGCTTAACAGCGGTTTAGACAGACCTTTACATCTTTTCTGTCCCTAGCATCACCGATGAGCTTTGAAGGAGGAACACCTGTGTGGTGCTGTGTTATATTTTTTTTAATACTGTATCTATTACCAAATGTTATAGGTGCAATCAGGGTTGTAAGTGTTACATTCATCTCGGAGCATCCGCGAAATATGCTGCATTTTTATTCTCACATTGGTACTGATATTATAACTGTTTGGAAATGAAAATCTGGCTTTGAATACAAAATGTATTCAAACAAATGCAAACTTTGATTAGATCCAGTGGAAGATTTTAACGTGTTCCAATTATGATCTTGACTTTAAAATATGTTGGGTGTTTTTTTTATGTGTATGTGTTACTTTAAAAATCGTTTATTACTACTATGAAATGTAATTGACACTCTATGTCATCATCTGTTGTTTTGAATTATTGTTGCAAGGAGATGGCTTCATCAGTTGTAATAAGTTGTGCCAAATCTTATTTTCCGATTTTGGTTAATGAAATATGTTTAAAGTCAAAATCAAATTAGTAGTGTAAAACTGTTTATATGTTAAAAAATCTTACCAGTAACGTGCTTTCTCCATATCAGGGTATGTTGCTTCCTCGGTGTGGTGCTGGATCTCGTTCCGGAAGTTACTAATGATACCGGTGATATTTGTTTCAACCATTTTGACACCGGAAGTGTACAGTCGATCCACTCTTGCTGAATAAAGCTCGGCGGTTGTGTACAGCGCTTTGAACCTGCTGATCCGGTTATTGTACATCTCAAAATACTCCCGTGTCTGCAATGTATTTATGTAAGAAAACTACAATGTACATAAGACAACAATCTTTTATTATAACTTTATATATAGTATTAATATATGATACCTATTATATTTTAAGGTATCATTAACTCAAATGAAATATATAATAATCGTACAAGATACATTATTAAGATATGAGATAGCAGTAAAATATATAAGATATCTTAAATAATTTTAAACATAGGACATGCATTGCTGTTTTAATCAATGATAAGTTCCAAACGAAACCTTTCAAGATCACTAAGATAAACATACTGTAGATAATGTGATCCCGACGTGAGTTATTAAGGACAACCGCGGAATCGTAACCGTTTCAATTGGTATAAGGCAGTACATTATTTATAGTTTGGCTCAATGCATGATTATATATAGTAGCTTTGTATTTGAATTTACGATCTACTCTCTTCGATCTTTAACGCCAAATTGTATACTCGAAACTCTTGTATGTTATATGTATCAATTATATAAAGTGACGTACAAATGTAAACTGACAATGTGCTCCCGCTCCTTTACCTTGAAACCTCCTTGCACGAAAAAGAGAGTACCGAGGGCGCGTTCAATCCCAACGTCCTGTTTCCCACTGGTCAATTTGAGATAGGCCACCAAAGTCTTCCATACGACAGCGAATTGACCTCTTGTAATGGATTTGTACAGCCAAACAATGACCACATCTATAACCTGAAAAGAATCAATATGATTGCTCCTGGATAATATCTATCGTAAAAAAAATAAAAAAAATAATGCGTATTTAACAGACTTCAATGATTATACCCAAGTTAATTACTCTCTTCGAATTGTCTAAACTTATAATATGTATTTACACTGGATATACGATGACCAAAGCATCAATTTCATATACATTCCTCAAAATAAATCACACTTTATCAGAGCTCATGAAGGATTTTTTATAAATTGAACAGAAATATTGCTTTAACGTCAATTAAAAACGAAGCCAAATATAGTAGATAGTGGGAAAGAAATCGCACGTGAGTAACACAGAATACAAAAAGCAAAGAACAGGATAACGTTGTATACATAAAAAAAGTTTACCAATTGTAGTCCATGCATACAAATTAACTAACCTTGGTATAAAACTCTATCTCTACGTGGAGATTGAATGTGTCTTTGGATAAGAGCTGTCGATGGAACTTCAGGTACTCTTGTAACTTTCCCTTGGACTCAAACTCTGTCCTCTTCTTGTTGTCCAGGTCTGCTGGCCACTCGGACAGAGCATCTATGGCTTTGTCTGTAAACATATACTCGGTCAGCAGAAAGGTTTTTGTCTCCGGCCCGAGGTCGCTGAGGTACAACACACTCATATCCCGTTCTTGCTGCAAGTGGTGGATTAGTTTTCCAAGTTCAACACTCAGTTGTAACTGGAACTTTGTCTGTGGTACAAAACAAATATCAGTATGTGTCCGATATGAAAAGGTTGTTCTGTACAATAAATCTGTCACACATTTTGAGTATCTTCGTCAAATTGGTATATATATGTAACATGAAATATGAAATTTTACAATGTTAAAGTAATAGCTAACCATTCCGCTGAGTACTTTTTAAACTTTTATCTTTCAGCTTTTTGCTTATCATGTTGTGTAAGTATTCCTTATTATTGATGACAACCTCAGCTGATTTGATGTAAACGTTGTTGTGTCGTTAAGCAATTAAATAACCAACCAACTAAGTGGTTTTTTTAACACTGTACTCATATTCGATTATGTGAGATAAGATTTGTCAATGCATGACCAACATGTTCACTATCCTTTTTTAAACGGTATAATAACAATGCGCATAAATACAATCACAAATGGAAGGGGAGTAACTTTGTTGCAATGAATAAAATATACATAGTTGTGAAGTTCAATAATGCTTGTTCAAAATAACCTTGTGAAAAACAGTTTATGACGTAAACCACGGAGTTCTCGAGGCGGATTGTTTTCTTTCGCAGGCAATACCATTGGAGATTGAGAAAATTTATAATGTTGATAACACAATATATTTTACTTGAAAACTTGAGAAAGGGATAAGATGACGAGTGCCTTGGAAGAAAATAATGAAACGATAGATAATTTAAGAGAGAAGCTAAAACAATGAAATTCCCAGCTGCTGCAGTGAAGCCAGCAGATCGGTTTTGGCCTTTTATGGTGGCGTCCCAAAAATTAATTGTATCCGGCGATTTGGGGCAACGGGCTTAATATTTTGCGCCATCAAATAAGGTACACTAGGGAAAATAACTTGTTTCTGTGGTATCTTTTGGTGGTTTTGTCGTGTTGTGCTAACAACGGTACAATAGCAACCCACCCAAGTACTGGACCTTTTTACCTTTTCATTCTCCGTTTTGCGTTTAACGATGTCCGTGAGAGTGTATACACTAAAGCCCCACAGTCCAAGGATAGGCAACACTGTCAGACACAGCATCTTGAGCAACTGTAGGCGGTTCCCTATGTCAGACAGCTGCTTACCCCGACACAGGCCTGCAAAAATTGTAAAGGTTTTGCAACAGAAGGTAATTCAGTCTTATAACTAAGTAGTACCCTATTTAAACCGTGCGGCAAAAAACCCAAGTAACATACAAGGGTAAATTATATCAAATAACACCCTGACACCAGACTCAGACATTTTAACAGAAAGTTGTCTGGTGCGGGGCCAGAGTGCACTGTTAAATGACAACGTGGAATTCTCCGAGACCGCTTGGTACCGGAGAGTTTTGAGATGCTGACAACAAAAATCAACTATGACACAACAAATTCATGTCCTTCACATATATCACATATTAGGAGGCAATGTAGTCTAGTGGTAGGACAGTTGAGTACGTCAGAACAAGAGGAGTAGAGTAGAGTTCAGAGATACAACACAGTGAAGTGACGTGATTAGAACCCTCACTACTTCGGTCAAGAGCCCGGCGTCCTACCACTAGACTACCGTGCCTCCTTATATTTAATACATATAAGGTATGTGTTGTGTCATAGTCGATTTATGTTGTCAGCACCTCAAAATTATTCGATACCAAACGGTGTCGGAGAATTTTCACGTTTTCATTAAGACATGCGCTTTGGCCCCACACCAGACAACAATCTGTTAAAATATCTAAGTCTGGTGTCAGGGCTAGAGGAAACTCGGACTAAGGTTGAGTTAGAAAACTTACACAAGAGTGTACCATAGGGGAATTCAAAATCGAACAATGTACGATATCAGCAGGTTTAAGTTTAAAATAAATTATTCATTTAAAACGAAGATCGGGATGTTGGTTGGTAGATGCCATTGATTAACAATAAATGTTTGTACTCGTATTTCAAGGGAGTTTGGTGAGTAAAGCGTGCATTTGCCTTCTCTCCCAGGCTAAAAAAACATATTTGTTTACAAAAATGAAACACGTTGTCCTTGCTTAGGTATAAGTGTACGACAGCAGTTGCTAAAACGTATGGTTGCACAGTTTAGGATTCGTTCGTTATTCATTCAGAACGTCTCTTGTCAATTTCTCGACATGAATTGTTCATATGGAGTATCAAACTATGTTATCATGAAGAATGTTATGACAAAATCATAAAAAAATAATTCTTCACTTTATTATCCTTGTAAATTAACAGTATAAAATGTTTGTTTGATTTACACGGAAGTAAAGTACGATTTGGAATATCAATAAATAACAAGTGAAGTTAGCACATTTGTCTCTCATTCATTCATTTGACAACTTATAGGTGTATGTTATATAAATTCTAAAAAAGTAAATGTTCATATTAACTGACTAGAACATAAGCCAATGATCTGAGCTTGAATTCACTTTGTAATGCATATTCTGTACCGATGAGACGCGAAATCTCTAATGAATCTGAAGACAAATTTACTAATCCCGTTTTATTTTTAAAAAAGGATGTATTACGAGCGTTTTTGTGCGTATTGTTTGCATATTTTGAAATCCCTGGCATGCTAAACTCGTGTTCAGTTCTTATAAATATGAAAATATAGCAGCTTAATGCTAAACTTAAATGTTTCGATAAAATTAGCTTTTTCCATAACGGAGTGTCGGCCCAGCATACCTGTACATAATATCGTTTTCATGCTCAAGGATGTATTCAGCGATCTTGGCAACTTCTTTGTAGTTTGTTTGTGTCATGTAGCATGGTCAACAAATTAAAATGTCAGTATTACAAATGATATTTGGATTTAACGTTCTCCAAAAATCTTCAAAGTCATTCACAAAATGTGTCTTGTTTTAATTCATTACGTGATTAGAAAACAAGATTTTAGCAAAGAATCAAAGTTTGTTTTTAAGAATTTTATGAATACAGGAAAACAACGGGTCTCGCTATACGGGGAAAGATTATACCACAAAAAAAGGACAACTTACTCATGTTTCTTGTTCTCTTCTTATCAAAGGAATTCTGGCTTCCGAAAGACCAAATCGACAAAGATCTTTGGCTGTGACTCCTGCCGGTGGATTCTTCATTCTCCTCCATATTTAATGGGTAGATTTTCACCAATCTAGAATAATAAATAGAATAATAATGATATCTCGAGGTTTTTATCTACCGCTTTATTACAACCCAATTCGTAGGTCGTCTCAAAGCTCTTCACAAATTATTTTCCGTGGTTATTGGCCTTTTGCAAGCAGCCAATCTCTTTCTCCACTCTACGGGGAGCATACTGTCGGTGCTGCCATTTAGGCGCTTACTGCAGCATTCGACATTTCTAGCACTGCCCAACGACTGGAACAAGCGAAGTAACGTATACTGTTAAAAGATACAACACAGTGCCGTGACGCGACTCGATCCTGCAACTCTTTGGTCACGAACCCGGGTTCCTACCAGGTTACCGTGTCTCATCACCGTAGGCATACTAAGTGGTTATTTGAGAATTCAGCTTCAAATTTACATCGATTGAACGTAAATTAGATCATGCTTATCATGTCACTAAAGACATATAGAAATTGAAAAAGTAAAATTTTATGACAAATAATGGGTACAAATATAATGTGCAAAAAAAATAAGATCACGCATGGTAAGGTTCTATATAACACCGGGAAGGTTATTGTTAATGCATTTTGATATTACATATGTATAAGCATAGTTCGTTTTGATTTATTTCGAAATATGTTGCATGAAAAGCACGTTGGGTCCTGCGGTCCTGAAAATCAATGGAAGGGGACGCTGCAGTAACAAATTAGTTCTATTTGAGAAATGAATTCTAAACATAATGTAATTGATCGTTGGTTGCCAGGCAACACCTCCACTAAACATATAAATAAAAATAATTCAAGGTTCTTATATACCGCTTTATCACAACCTAGTTCGAAAGTTGTCTCAAAGCGGTTCACAAGTTATTATCCGTGGTTATAGGGCCTTTGCAACCAGCCAACACCTTTATCAACTCCTTGGGGAGTATACAACCGGTGCTGCCATTTCGGCGCTCACAGCTAGCATTCAACAATTCTAGCACTTCCCAACCACGTACTCATTTACGGCAGAGTGAACTGGAACAGGCGGAATAAAGTATTTTGCTTAAAGAAACCACACAGTGCCGTACAGTGACTCGAACCCTCAACCCTTCGGTCAAAAGCCCGGCGTCCTACCACTAGACTACCGTGCCTCCATATTATAAATCTTCTTTAAACAAAACTGTTCCTAAGCATTTTCTAGGTAAAGGGATGTTTTGGTGGTTCCAGCTCCCACAATTTAGTAAATGGATTCCAGCTGGTTTCGACTTTGAGCCATCATTTGAGAAAACGGTGCAGCAAAATATGTAATATATATAAAAACAAATCTTAGCAATTAAAGAAAATGAGAAGATATTGACAAACATATGAAAAAAGTAAATGTTTGTTGGGTTAGGTTTAGTTTTGCTGTACGGTCCGTTAACACCTTTTGCAATTTGGGGACGTGGAGGAGGAATACCGGAGTACCTAGCGCTCTTCCAAAACCCTCCCCCGCAAATGTATCGGTAAACAAGCTAGTCCCGGGACTGGTTTCATTTGTCGAATGATTTGGTTTGGTGTGGTTTAGTAACGTCCTATCAACAGCTATGGTCATTTAAGGACGGCCTCCACTGTGTGCAAGATACATGCGTGTAGTTTATTTGTGTGTTTTGGTAGGTTGCGATATGTTCTTGTTCGTCTCCTGGTGATAGAGCGGAACTGATGCCGACTTTATAGTGCTACCTCATTGAATCATAATGCCGACGACACCCAACAGGAAATCACCCGCATTTAATTTGATATGTACTTGACGATTTGCTAGCCGACAAACAGTACAAACTATTCAACCCCTGATTATAATTGAAACATTTCAAGCTCACGGTCAGAATGTCACAAGTTTCGCTGAACTGACCGCGAATGTGACTTAAGCTAGTGTTTGTAAATCTGTCAAATGTTTATTTCATGTGTTGACAAGCGATGGCAATAGATTGGTGGATTTCATTGCCAGATCTTGACGTCAGATTGTATTGTTAATTATCTCATAACAAAATGGCGATTGAAAATTAAAACATAATCCTTCCCAAACCACACAAAATAGGACAACTGGCCACAGGGCCATACACGATAGAAACGCACATATTCTTGTGAACTGAAGACATATAAGTATCACGTGACAAATAAAAATACAAGTAAAAAACATCTTTATTTAAAAAAATAAGATTATCTGGGTCATCTTGTGTGACATAGGCGTATGGACACTGAGATAGACACCAAAAAAGGTTTTCATTACATTTAATTGGTAGAATAGATATATATTCCACATATTTGTGTGTATTATGGTGGAATATATATAACTTAGAACTCGATAACGTTGAAAACAATTCCAAAATGTTCTCATTCTCGTCAAACGTTGATCATTTCTTAAATAATAGCGAGAACTGTTACTCTTGATTGTTTCCTATCACAACTGTCCTGGCCCATTCGTCATACTGTTTTAGTTTTATTTAACACATACAAACTTAATCAGCTAAAGGAAAAGGATGATACAATTGCATAAATTAAGGTATCCTTTACACATTTCAATTGCGCTTTGCCTTCTGAAGGTGAGGGAAGTATTTCATTACTTAGTCGAAATGTTATGATGCTCATACATGTATTACATTGAGCAACTTTTTAGAAGAAGATAATTTTATAATGCCCGATTATAACCCGGAGCTCCGATATGTTTCCTCTGATTTATCGAGTTACTCAAGTTTTCTGGTGGCGTTTTCCGACCTGTGTGTGGTAGTGTGTGGACATTTACATGCTGCTTGTAACTAATGCCTCCACAGAAGCTCTGCAAGGGTACAAATACCAAAACAGTTAACGACAACGGCGGCCCACAGCTACAGGTGAGCGATGTTAACCAATGCATGAACAGTCGTAGCGTGTATAGTACGTGTAACATGAACATGTCTAGTCAACAGTTTCATCCACAAGGTAGCCAGTGGTTCAACGGACAACCATATAAGAATAATGGCCA